AGTTCAGACAGCTGCTCAGGATGCTGAACAGAGCTTTTTAATCTGGAGACAATACAGTGAAGACTAAAGTAAAGACAGGCACTGAAGCTGCAAAACACTCAAAAAAAAAAAAAAAAAAAAACACAATTCAAAATTCAACTCGGGCAAAACCTATGCAACAACTCCGACCCAAGGCAGATGTGAGATTGCATACAATCACAGACTACAAAAGGAAAAGCAGTATACAACACACACCTGTGAGAGACAATGGCAACCTGACTGAGCAGCTTAACATCTCTTCTGCTTGTTTTGACAGACAGCAAAGAACCTCCAGCAGATGCCTCACCATTGGGAGATCCACATGCTGTTTCTCGGCACTCCGAGATGTCGACACCAAGACAGCAGTCGGGCCTAAGTGTACAAGGGTGTGTGTTCCAGGCATGTGCTGATTAACTTAATGTCTACAGACATTGTCAACATCTCCCTGTTCCTCTGTGTGTAGTCCTGTCATGACTCACATTCACTACCATCTTGCCTACACCCAAGAAGTCTGCTTTGGCACATTTCATGACACATCCCCCCCCCCCCCCCCCCTTGTTAACTTGCCCATTAGTCATCTCATATATGCTGGAAGACACACCATGAGTGAAATACAAAGTCAACAACATGGCTGAGTGTTTCAGGATTGGTTTCCTTGATAAATAAAGAAACCCAACCTGTTAACTTGCAGGTTCTGTATCATTCTTCTTTTTAACTTGGGTTCTAATTCTGACATGACACAGAGAGAAGAGTTTTTAGAGGCCTAATGAAACACAAATGATGGACTTCAAAAAAATTCGCTCAATATGACTTTTATTAACTACAGGGAAAACAGATCTGCATTACCTTCACTACAGCTCTGTGTCAGCTGGACGATCCCAACATGTATGCTAATCTTCCTTAGCTCAGTCTGCAGTATAAAACAGTGTGGCTGCAGGTAATTATCATTCTGCTATAAAACATGCACAATTGTTTTGGTGGAACATTTGCAGGAGGGAGTCGAGCACTGTCAAAATAGAAAATCCAATGACAATAAACAAGCAATCCAAATTTGCACAATCTGGACTTGAAATTTTCATTGTGGTAGGTTCTCGCTTACAGGTTGTTGTTGTTACTTCCTGTACCAAAGTGGATTTTGAAAATGGTAAAATGTGGTTAGCAGAAGGGAAGGACAAAGCCACTTCTACCTCCATCTGACATCTAGCAGGTCAGACTAGTGCTAAGATGACTTTAGCTCAGTGTTTGACATCGTTACACCCAGTATGTTTGTTACCAAACTACACAAACTGGAGCTAAATCCCTACATATGTGTAAATGGATATTGGACTTCTTACTTAGTGGCAACACTTCACATACAACATATACGGACCACTGACAGACCAGTTGTACCATGGATTGTATTTTTTTATTGACTTCATGTGCAGTGCGCGTAGGACGTTGGATTATGGCAGAACAAGGCGTGAGCTTTCATTTAGGGATCGTTGTGTCTTTGAACACAGCTACATACTGTCGGACTTTATGACTAATTTCTGTGTTAAATTATCAGTAGAATACTGGCCTACTTTTATGGTTGAAGCATGAATCTTTGCGGCTCATTTACATGCTGCTCATGCCTGGTGGAGCCACTTTCATGAGTTAGAATGGAAGCATAATGTTAACCCTATATGTTGCATGTACAGTGTAGCCACAGGGTTAACCACCTGTCAACAAACTGCCGCAGTGGGGAAGTGTTCTTTCCTTCCTCTTGACTGGTGTGCCCCACAGAGGCCTCTTTCTCTATGCCCTCTTCACGTCACTGTCTAAAACTCGTCTAAAACCACCTAAAACTCATAGCTTTGCAGGTGAGACAGCAATCAATGGATTCATCACAAACAACAGGGAGGCTGCATACAGAGAGGAGGTCCAGAAGCTGACAGTATGCTGTACCAACAATGACCTGGTCTCAAACACCAAAAACACCAAGAAGAACCAGACAGGCTACACACTATAGAGTCTACAATAATGGAGAGGCTGTGGAGAGAGTCTTCAGCCTTGAATCTGTGGGGCTCCAAGTCACAGAGGACTTGTGTGGATCTGTCACCTCAGTAGAAGTGCGGAATGTGCAACAGCTTGACTTTCAGAGGAGATGACACAGAGCCACACTGTCCCAGAAACTGGAGGTGAATTTTCACAGATCCACAACTGGGAACAATTTGATAAACTGCATAACACCTTAATATGGCATTTAGACCGAAGCTAACGATAAAGGCTCTTAAGTGTGTATTAAAAACAGCATAGGTCACTGACTCCCATACAACACTAGCTTTATGAGAAAGACTAAGAACACGATGAAAGGCAAAACAGCTTCTTCCCAGCTGAACTCGGACATCTCAGTAGTTTTTCTATACCAGTGGACAATGTGCAATACTTTTAATGAACTCATTAACATAACTTAACATGAATGTTTATCGATAATTTGCACCTCAACTACCCTCACTGTCTCTGAGGATTATTTGCACGATTTAAGCTAGTTATGTTTTTCAGTGTTTCCTATCATATAAATTTCAATTTATGACTTCACTTACTTCTTGAGTATTTCTGCACAGACTTGGATTATGCCTATGGCCATATGCATCACTGAGGATGGCACAATTTTACATTTGTTGTGCTGTCTTCAATGGCGCATATGGGTCTTGAACTTAAGAGGCGAAAAGTACCAGTCCCAGTGATCGCTGCACAAATGTAAAATGTAGAAGAACCAGTGCTGCATTGCAGTGAATATAGCCCAAAAATGCCTCTAGAAAGAGACTGACTGTATGAACAAGCTACATTTGAAAATGGTGTAAGGTACATATGCGGTGTGGGTCCCGCCTGAGACATTTAATTTTCTGTTTAACAATGAATAAAAGCAAAATGGAAAATGGAATGCTAAAAAATATGAATTGAAATTGATGCAATTTTAGCGAATCACGAACAGCTTTGTTATAGCTGACAGATGTCACAGCATGAGTGCTCATTCAAAACCTTCAAAGGGAAGGATGGCAACTGAGTGAGGCAGGGCTGTATTCATTCTGTTGTTTGAGAAAGAGTAAAAGAAAAACAGAAAAAAAAAGAACAAAAAACTCCAACACAATCGAATCTTTATGTTGGCCCTAAACAAAACAGAGTAAATGGCCTTGTCGAAACAGATCACTAACTATTCCTACATTTAATTCTACATTAAGTGAAGTATTTTCTCTTTTCCTCATATTTCTGTATTAACATTCAAATGTTATTACCGTCAGAGGTGAGAATATCTGGACATTTCGATAAACACTTAGTCACAGATTTCTGATGATGAACATATGTGTGAACTGCTGAAGCTTATAGGGAATCCAGATGTTTTGGATTGTTGGGTGTTTCTGTCTCTGCCTTTGTGAAGCGCTATGAGATGACTGTTGTTGTAAATATGCGCTATACAAATAAAATTGAATTGAATTGAATTTGTGGTGTTTTGAAAACCAAAATACCAATACAATAAAAAGTAGCAAAACCAAATTGGATATACAGCTAAAAACTAAACAATGAAAAAAGTTCCTTCAAGTTAACTGTTACGGACTGGTTCAGAGACTCAAGTGCGAGGCAACACGACACGGCAGGCAGTTTGAAAATAACAATTTATTTGAGCACACACAGAAACCTTTACAGAACTGAGAGAGATTGCTTGGAACAGCAACTATGTTTAAACTGAAAAACAAAACGAGACTAAACGAGAGAAACTAAAAGAGGACACCAAAAAGGTGTTAATTAAGGACTGGCTTAAAAACAAACAGACTAGCAAACTGAAAAAAAACGCTAGCTCTACGCACGGGCAGGTGGGCTAAGCAAACCGAAGAAAAAGAACTAAAAAGCTAGCGGACCAAAGGCTAACAATGAGCTAGCGTAAAGCGCCGACGGACGAACTAAATACAGGACGAGGAGAACAGACTTACGGACTGGCTGACAAACGGGAGTAAATAAATCTAGCGGGACATACGGACTGATGACGTTAAACCTACACAGTGAATCTGACCTGACAGAACCGAAGCAGGGTGGTGAATGGGGGAGCGGAGCGGCTGCGGTGGAGCGGCTGCCGACGACCGGGGACGGACGCCAGGGAGCTTCGGGAGGGAGAGGTGGACGGAGCTGGTGTCCGGGCTGACGGGTGGGATAGAGCGGGCAGGTGACTGGTGGTGAATCCGGTGGCTGGTGGCTGCGTCGCCGGCTGACGGAGGTGCTGGTTGTCGGTGGGAGATGATCCGGGCTGTAGACGGAAAGACACGGTTAGAGCGAGACTGGCAAGAGAAAGGAGCTGGGAATAAACAATCGTGGTCATGAACTGACTAGGGACTGTTTACGGTCCGGCGACGAATCGTGGTCTGGTCGAGGCTAAAAAGCTGGTCTCATGATGAGACACAGCTGCGGCAAACACACACCAGTGTAATCAGTGGATTGCGATCACCTGCCCGCTCTCTTCATGCAGATCACCAGCTCACGCCCACCTAATCAGAAAGGGAGAGAAAGGAGGAAAGGAGCGAGGGAGAGAGAGAGAGAGAGAGAGAGAGAGAGCACTGCCGCTACCTGACTCCAGCGGCAGCGGGCGTGACAGTACCCCCCCCCTCTACGGGCGCCTCCAGGCGCCCGATTAGGATGGCGACGGTGGAACTCCCGAATGAGAGCAGGGTCCAAGATCCGACGCTGGGGGACCCAGCTGCGTTCCTCGGGCCCATAGCCCTCCCAATCCACGAGGTACTGGAGGCCACAACCCCGACGGCGCACATCCAGCAACCGACGTACCGTGTAGGTGGGCGCGTCATCCACCATCCGCGGAGGTGGAGGGGGACGGACTGGGGGGGCCAGCGGACTCTCTGCAACGGGCTTGACCTGGGAGACGTGGAATGTTGGGTGGACCCTCATGGAAGGCGGGAGTTTCAGGCGCACAGCCGTGGGGCTCAGGACGCGCTCGATGGCGAACGGGCCGACGAATCGAGGCGCCAATTTCTTTGAATTCCACCCGGAGCGGAAGATCCTTAGCTCGGAGCCACACCATCTGACCAGGGGAGTAAACTGGCGCCGGAGAGCGACGGCGATTAGCCTGCCTCTGCATATTCTGTGCAGCTTTCAGCAGGGCAGTCCTGACACGGTTCCACGTTCGTCGACACTTCCGCATGAATGCCTGCACAGACGGAACGGCGACCTCTCATTCCAGGGCCGGGAAGAGTGGCGGCTGGTAGCCCAGGGAGCACTGGAAAGGCGAGACCCCAGAAGAGGCGTTGGACATGGAGTTGTGGGCAAACTCTACCCAGGGCAATTGTTCACTCCATGTCGTCCGATCTCTCGAAACCACACAGCGCAGAAACGTCTCCAAGGACTGATTGGTCCTCTCCGTCTGTCCGTTGGACTGAGGATGAAAACCAGAGGTAAGGCTCACCTTGGCTCCAATCGCTGAACAGAAAGCCCTCCACACTTCGGAGGTGAACTGGGGGCCCCAATCAGACACTATGTCTGTGGGGATGCCGTGGAGGCGGAGCACATGGGTGACGAGCAGGTCAGCAGTTTCCCGGGCCGAGGGGAGCTTGGGCAAGGCAACGAAATGAGCCGTCTTGGAAAAGCGGTCCACAATGGTCAGAACAACAGAG